TATAGTTGGGGCTTGTGTTGCTGACGCAGCAGGTATGTGTGGAAAAATTTTTGATTTTATTTGTAGTTGGAGTGCTTCCAGGCTACCATACATGATGATACATCATCTTTGTATCATCTTCCAAATGTGAATTTTTAACACTCTTCCAACACTAAGTTTATTAAGAGGGAGGATTTCCAAATTTAACGCTCATCTCCATAATACAGTGGAACTCGGATTCAACAAGGTCGCCGGGCCTGGCCTAAAATCTCGTTGAATCGGAGTCTTCGTTATAGCAAACACGAGGTTTTGTGTGGATAATTAAAGGCACTGAGCAAGTAATGTGTAAAGAGAAGTCACAACTGCCTGAAATGCCTGCATATTATGAGCTGTGTTTAAAAAAAAAAAAAGACCAATTCGTTCAAATGCACACGCACGTGTCATCTCCATTGTTTACCAAAAAGTTGTGTTGCTGTGTAGAGCCTATAGCTTACGGCAACTTTTGATTCCGTAGACCAGTGCACACTTCATTACGTAGATCTACGTCAAGACTAGCTTATCATTGTAACAATGTTCAGTTGCTGAGGGAAAAAAAAAGACCGTGAGGCTTTTGTATTTCTGCGACGTTCAACGCCAGGACCACTAGTGTCTCCCCCCCCCCCCCTCCCCGACACGCACACACAGCCACACGTGTGGAGGCCGCTCATCCGACCCCGACACACGCCAGAGTACCAGAGGAGACACGTACACATGCCAACAACGCATGTGTTGGTATTAAAGAAGACCGCTGATTGGTCGCATGCAATCGGCTAAGTGGATTGGTTCACGATACAGGTGCAATGGATGGTTTCCGGGAATAGATAAAGTTTGTTCTGGGAGAAAAATGAGCGAAGCCACGTCTGTGGGGGTTGTTCCCCCAGGGAAACGACCTCGTTGAATCCGAGCTCGCTGATTTAAGTGTTTGTTGAATCCGGGTTATTTTTATTGATTTTAAAGAGGGAAAAGAACGGGGAATCTATATCATCTCATTGAATCCAAGTTCTCGTTGAATCCGAGCTCGTTGAATCCGAGTTCCACTGTAGGACCGAGGTGGAGAACCGTTAAAACTCCCCAAATCAACCCAAGTTGAGGATTCAAACCAGAGCCATTTGCTCTGTAGCTCCAATTACTGCGCTCAAGGAGCACCCAAAATCATTGGCATACATTTAAAGTTTTTGTTTGCTTTGAAAAGTTAACTTTGTTCAGTGTTAATTGACAACCAATGACATTCATGAATCATTTAGGTGAACGAGGTCTTGATTTAATTGATTCTTATTTCAGAATAAATGCTATTCTGACAAACTGTGTGTTAAGCTAAATGAACTTGAGCTGACTTAGGCAGTTCTGTTATTTAGGCTATAATTATAATGTTGCTGCTAATCAAATTTCGAACTCTGTAACTCTATTTAACCACTGTGAATTATATGGCATAATTCAAATTCAATGTTTTGGCACTTTAGCAAAAATTTAGGTGTTTTGATGCATGCCTTCTTCGGCCTAGTTTAAATCACCTAAACAAGTAATTAAGAGATGGACTTCGATCTTACCTGTGAGGGCTAACCTGGGCTGAGAGGAATACACAACATCCTGCAAAAAGACCAGGATAATCAATAAAAATTCTCCACTCGTGAGAATCGAACTTGGGTTTCTGCATGCTACAGCGAAGCACTTAACCAGAAATGTGCCAGTGTTCTGGTCCTAGAGGGTAGGGCTGGGAAGAGAATGTAATTTTATGTTGTAATAGAAAATTTTGATCTTTGAGGTTTGTTTTGCCACCAGTGTGGGTGGGTAGGTTTAGAGGTTCAAGAGTAATCAGATGACTAAGGCATTTTCCTTCCTTTATTTAATTTTGTTTGTGATTTTAACGAATTTTTGTCTTTTTGCTATATTAGCCCAGCCTCTACACTGGATTTACAATGAGGGTAAAATGGCTAGTCTCATTGAAGGCAAAGAGGAGATTGAGTTTCGACATCCATCAGCCAATCCTTTCTACAGAATTCCGACAGGAAGTAACAGTTGCTATGGTGATCAGGCTTATGTCATGCTGAAATCACTTGTTGAATCCAAAGGTGAGGATATATTAATTATCTAGTATTATAATGATGTTCATGAGGCTTTTATGTGAATTCAATAGACAAAGTTGAACGTTAATGAGTATGTGTATGAAAACAAGACTCTTTCCTGTGTATTCAAAATCGTTTTTAGTATAGGTGCACAAAACAATAGCAATGAAAAAAAAAAAGCAACAACAAACTCTCCCCCACCCCTCACCCCCAACCTTTATCAACACAGACAAGTTAACCTGAGATTCAATGGTTCCTTTCAACAATCATAACTTTATTGTGACGTACATTGTTTTTTTTTTACTTTTCAAGCCAGGACCATGCCGTTTCAGTTATTAAATTTTGTAGCCCTTAAATTTCTATTCTGCTCTTCTGCTTTCAGGTAAAATTGAATTAAAAGCTATTGCAGCACTGTTGTAAAAATCCTGTCTGGTAGACCCATATGTCTAATCATCCACGTGATTTCCAAAATCAACTGATTTTTTTACATACATTATATAGCAGGACGGCATCTTAGCACATGATGTTCTACATATTTATGGTGTACAGGAGCTGTTACTAAGGGATTAGTGTCCTTCAGTGCAATGAGTTTCCTTTATGCCAATTTAACACAGTGGTTTCTATTTATCCTATGCTACATTATTCTTTCTTTACATGACATGATCTGGTGTTCGGACATTTTACTTTCTGACAGGTCATGTTGATAAATTATCATTTTATAGAAGAAACTCAAATGGGATTAAACTTTGGGGAGGAGGGGGGGAGGAAGGGTGAATTCACATTTCCGTTGAAAAACAATAATTCTGGTCTGTACATCCTTGTTGTTTAAAACTATACATTAAAGTATGAAATCATGGCTTGTTCAACTTACATGACATTCCACGTTCAGTTCAAATAAAGCCTATTTCATTACTTCCATCTCATCCTCAGGTTTAGACATCGACCATCTGACTAAAGCAACATATGATTTCTTTGGACCAAATTCCTCCTATGAAAGTGATGAAACTAATAAATATCTTGTTGGAAAAGAGGACAAAATCAGTGAGTGCTGTCAAAATTTAAGTGTATGTGAACTGTGTATTAACAATTTTATTACAAGTGGATGTGGCTTTTTGAGGGTTGGAAGATTTTCCAAATCTTCAAAAGCGCCTTGATGGACATCCAGTCTACGGGATAGGTGAAGGTGAAAGTTGGAATATTTGGCTTTTATTCTACTGAAGAAAAGCCTGAGCTAGTTTTCCTCTAGCTTAGTATAGATTTCATTTCTTGATTAAAGATAAATATTTCTTTTCCAAAGACCAGACACATAATTATATATATTATCCGTTCTCAAAAGGTCTGTTTGAAACATGGCAAGCACCTAAATGTTCAGTTAATAACTCTTTTCTGACTTTTATGTAGTTTATTGTGAGAGGGTGGGGTTTTTTTTGCTTTTCAAGTCAATAAAATAATCAGATACATCACATGCAGGAGAAAGTTGATCAATTTTCATACTCCTTGTAAAATCCACTACTGAGAATGACAAGATCAAAATGGTTGAAATAATTATAAAAACTAGTAACATGTACAATTTTCTTCTCAAAAAAGCAGACTAGTGATTCATTCATGCTCAAATACACATGCAGGCCTACATTATTTTTCAAATGCTGTAAGATTTTCATTTTTTGAGGAGTTTCTGAACACTCAGTCAAAAAGTGGGGTTTAATGTCTTACACAGAAATGGCAGTAGATGTTCTGCAGTTAATGGAAACAAAATAATATGGAAGTTTCAACTGAAATATTTTCTCTCTATTCATTTAATTTGAGTTAGCTTTGAGTGTCTAATTGATTTGGTATTCATAACCTAGCCTTATGTAGAAGACACTATATACTTAGCATGACTCAGTACAAAGAACACTTTCTGGAATCATTGGCATTTGTTTTATAAGGTTATGGACTTTGGCTTATTTCTTTTTATATTGTGTGTATTTGGTTGATTCTTTATTTAAAAGGCCTGACTTATTACACATATTTTCTATTTATGAATTTTTGTCATGGATAGGGAAGGAGATCAAGACACTCCAGCCATTCTCACCTTTTGAAAAGGACGCGTAATATGTGTGATCTCTAAATTGTTTTTTTTAATATCACTGAGGACAATTAAATGTGTTTGCTGTCCCATGAGAGATATAGCTCCAACACTTTATTGTTGTTTCTATTTACAGATATTAAAAAGTCCCTTCCAATTCATGGTCCTTGGAGGCATGGTTGTATCAAAGACTTCCTAGCGAATATGTATGCTGACAAAAACCCCACAGGTATGTGCCTGTGTTGTGACACCCTGTGATGTGCTTTTCATCCTTTAACTTTAAATGTGAGGCATGGTGTTGAAATCAGGCACTCGTCAAAATAATGAAATCGAAGAAATGGGCAATTTTCAGCCTGTTTAGCTGTCTCTGTGGTTTTATGCAAGAAAAATTATGAAATTATGCACACTGAGCCCGAAAATGTGAAATTATGCGATTCTGTTAATTTAAACAAAGAATGATAAAGGAAAATAATCAGAAATTATGCAAAAAATGATCAAATTTTCCAAAATTATGCAGGGTGCATAAAACCAGCAGGACTGGTTTTGCAAACCGGAGAAATTTTTGTGTTTTTTGTCTCAAGACCGTTTATGTCCATAAACACATTTCTGTGTGGATTTTACTGAAATAGGTTGACTAAAGGCACAAAAGTGTACATTTTCAGTTTCCGTCGACTCTCAAGTTATGGAAGTCACCAAACTATAGCGGCCATTTTCTCACGAAGTTTATATCTGACACCAGATAATCCCCACCTCCTTCTATTGCAAATATCTCACTTCTGTTCAAATTGAATATTTTTTTTCATAAAAAAAACGAGACAAATAAACAAGCTCAAAAATGATAAAAACAGCTTTGTATACTGTACCCCCAAAATGACTATATTGGTAGCCTGCAGTCTTAAAGCTTTTATTCGTCTTGCTTTTGATGAAAAAAATATTTAACGATCTTGAATAGAAGTCTAGATATTTACAACTGAAGGAGGTGGGGGTTGAGTGTTGTCAGGGGTAAAATTGGGGAGAAAATTGCCACCAAAGTTTGGTGATTTCCAAAACTTGAAAGTAGACCTTACTTTGAACTGCAAATTGTTGACCTTGTTTGTCCATCTGATCCTCTGTAACTTTCTTAGACATTTGTTCAAGAAAACCGGAATCCTCTTTATGTAAGCCCGAAATGTGTTCCATATCTGACATCCACACAACAAGACCGACTTCACGTTTGAGTTGAAATTCTTCAAATGAAACAGCCCCAGTCCTCTGAATCCCTTTCAAAGATTTAAAAGCAGCCTGTGTCTTTTCAATTTCGGGACTCTATTTCAGCACCTGTTCCTTCCTCTCTATCAATCACACCCCCAAGACAGCAGCAGGATTCAACATCTTCCTGTGCACTGCTTCCACTGTTACCCTTTCCTTGCGTTGTGCATCTATACTTAGGACCTTTGACTTTCCTGGGTGGATCCTCAATCCAACAGACTCTGATAGGCTGTTTAAAACTGAAGTTTTTGCTTGCATCTGTTCCTGGGTGTGCAACAGAAGTGCCAAGTCGCCCTCAAAGTCTAGATCGTCCATCTGTGTCCATGAGGTCCACTGTATACCATCTCTTGTGTCCCCTGGTGGTTTCTTTCACCAGCCAATCGATCACCAAGATGAAGAGGAAAGACAGTAGCAAACATCCCTGTCTCACACCGGTTTGATGTCAAAGCCGTCTGTGAGCTGGCCATCATGTACAATCCTGTAACTTGCCCCTTCATACATGGGTTAGAGATCTTTTGGTGGTCCTAAAAAGATAATAGTAGGCTTTGGCTGCCACATGGGCAAAATTCAGAATTATTCCCTTTGTTTTGAAAATGCATAATATGTCCCACGCGTTTATATGATTTTATGCAGTTGCGAGCGCCATAAAACATTTACCAAAGCAAGATTATTTTTTACAGGCGGTGTTTAAAGCAAGTTTGGCTGTATAATTGAAACATATTTTGATAAGATATGATTTCATTCTTTGCTTTAAGTGATGTTTGATGATAATTCGCATCTTCTACTCTATTCCAGGATCAGAGACAGATGATCAAATTGATTGCGCAATCAGAGTGATCCCCCTTGTTGCCATGTATGCCGGCCAGCCTGACCTTCTGGACAAAGCAGAAGCTGCATTGAGAGTTCTGCAGGAGTCGGACACATCAATAGCTTGTGGACTAGCAGCAGTGAGGTTGTTTTATCTTTCAATTTTCTTTTTTCTTTTTTTATGCCGCCTTTTCCTCCTCCTCCTTCTTCTTTTTTTTCTTCTTCTTCTTTTTCTCCTCCTCCTCCTCTTGTTCCTCCTTCTCCTCCTCCTTCTTCTCTTTGTTCTTCTTCTCCTGCACGTATCAGTGAGTTGATATTGTTCTATTTTACTTATAACAAACACATAAAGATAAGGAAATCCCTCTTCTTTTCAGAGTCTTGGAACAGTACATTCTGACTGGAAAACCAGAAGATGTCTTACAGAAAGTGACTGATACACTTAATGATCCTGATCGCAACTGCCCCCAAGACTTGGACCGGGCAGTTATTGGTCAACTAAGAGCAGTAGTGAGAGCCCTTGGCACATCGCATGAAGTTGCGGTCCCGAAATACTTTCAGAAGAACTGACGTAAGAGTTTCATCTTTAAAAAAAAAAAAGAGTGATCTAGTTTGGTTTGTGACATGGCTCATGAGGTGAGCATGTGGTGATAGGTAGAGAGGTATATTTTTCATTGCTCTATTTATAGTGCCAACATTCAGTATTGAAGAAACATTTATGGAAAAATCTTTTAATGCTATAGACCTGGCAATCTTTAACCAAGTTCATGTCTCAAGCTTATCTCTGTCTGTCTGTCTATCTGTCTGTCTATTTGTCTGTGTGTCTGTCTCTCTCTCTCTTCCTCTGTCTCTCTCTTTCTCTCTCTCTCTCTCTCATTATCACGCTTCCTATCTTTCTTTGTCTCCTTGTCTCTCTCTCTCTCTTCACAACAGTAGAGATGCAACCTATCTAATAGTGGAATAGCTTGCTGTAGTTTTTAAAAAAAGTATTTGTAAAAGTTTTATGGCACGTGCAACACTATGACCTGAAGATTAGAGGTGTCACAAGAGAGTAACAAACGGAAAAAAAGGAGGAGAGATAAGGATGATATATGTTTAATTGGAGAGAAGAAGCAAATAGCTTCTGCCATACAGTGGAGTCCACTTATAATGAGTCCTGAAACAACGAGAAGTCTGTTATGAAGACACTATTCTAAAACCCTGTTTTTTTTCTCATTATATAACAAGACTCCACTGTATTTGGTTTTGTCAAATCATACGTCTCTTTTTCTCTTCCATTGCCTTATTTCACTCCTCTTTCCACTGACTGCACTTTTGTTTCACTGATTCTTAGGACAGCTTTGCAGCAAAAGTGTTGAATTCTTATCCCTGTTTTTACCCATTACAGAGCAGTCAAATTTGTCCCAAGTGATATAAAAATACAGTTTAGCAAAAACAACTTATATATAAGCTCGTTTTTTGAAAAGATGCGTATAGCTGGGGAAACTCTTTTTCTCCATCTGTCACTGTAACGAACAGCATAATTTTCCTTCATTAGTAGAATGGACCACACTAACGTTGTATGGCTTCAAAGTTATCAAAAGAAAGAACATAAGGTTATCGTTAAGACTGTGGCAATGTTGTTCTCTATTTCCTATTTTTGTTTCCAGATTTGCCTGGATCTCTCCAATCTGCACTGCATGGCTTGGTGACTGCTCCAAGCTACGTAGACGGCGTGCGCACCACCATGAGGGTCGGTGGCTGCAATGCCTCACGTGGCGGCTTCATCGGGGCCTGCATGGCTGCACAGGTGGGCTACAACACCTGTGGTTGGTTCACTGACCTTGACGTTCCCCCCCCCCACCCCCCCCAAATTTTGTGAAACGCATTATGGTGATCAATGACTATGTTTCTTTCTTTTTTTTATCTCTACAATGTCTGCTTCCAGTTTGTTTTTGAAATTCCCCTACCCTTCTATACTTCTTAATTTCCCACTTTATGCATGGCTCAAAAGGACTTATCTCACATAGTTTGTTTTTGTGATGGTAAATTTTCGTAGCTGCTAGACTGGATGTTGATGGATCACAGGTTTATTTTTCTGTAGTTTAGTCTGATGTAAAGGAAAACTACTTAACCTTAATACTGTCAGTGGTGAACTTGTACTTTTCAGGGGAAAATCATAGGAACAAGGGTGCACCTTTAGATTTAACAAATGAGTATGATAGATACCAAAACCATAAAACTGAATATATTTGGAAAGCTTTTTCAAAAAGCTGTAACATATGCTGAAAAAAAATTACGATTTCGACATTTCTTCCCTAAAATCTGCTGAAATCTCTGAAATTGCCGAGGACTTGCAGAGTCACGGCTGCCAGCTGCTCTAAGTTAAATAACGGACGATCTTTTATGTTCCTCTGAATCGAAAAGAGTTCTAACAACTGCTAGAGGTCCTTCTTTTTAAAACGAGTGCATGCTTGTTCAATGTCGGTATTTTCGGGGATCGTGTGTACTGTTTTCGGAAACTGCTGATTTTAACAACGGTAACAGTCTGGTGGCAAAGAAAGTGCCGATCTCATTGGCACTTGCCAGTGGTAGGGTTAAGACCAATTGTGTGAACTAGAATATGGAGCTATGGTTATTAATTTGTAGTACAAAACTTACAACTCTGAATCTCATAGGGTAGCATGGAAATTTTGATTGGCTATATGTGAGGACAACTGAATAAAAAGAATTCTTTTGCTTACCAATTGAACACCTACGATAATTTTACAGGATTTAAGTTCTACATTGGAAAAGATTTCAGGTATGATTTCCATATGATGAGCACCTCACTGATTTTTCCGATTGCATTCAGCTTACTGCCTCTTTTTGTCCAAGTCTTTTCTTTTCCTTTTATTTATTTTGAATTTGTTTATTTTTGTCGGTAGGAGGGATTTGATGCCATCCCAGAGAGCTGGCGACAAAGGACCACACGATATGAGGAGGTCTTGGCTCTTGCTTTGGATTTGGTGCAGAAACAGGATTAGCTGTGAGGGAAAAGTTTGACTGGAGGATGTAGTTGTCTTTTTGATGAATCTTTCCCCCTCCCCCCCCCACCTCCCAAATCAGAAAGTGTTTCACCATACATGTATGGGAGACTGAATGACCAGGTTTTCACAAAAAAGTTTTTGTTTTTGTCTGTGTATTTGGTGATGAATTTTTTATAGTCTTGTGAGCTATGTATTCGTTAGCCTGAAGATGAGTGACTAAAATACACAGATGTCACTTAATTTGTTCTTTTTATTTGTAAGCTACAATAGTGCTGTACCTTCCATCCTGTCTGAGATTTATATCGATCCATCTCCATGACGACTTCACCATAAATCTTTTCAATGGTGAATGTCTGATCTTCCTGCAAGGGATGGGTCCATCTCAGATTGGATAGAACATGCAGAACGATTGTTCTTTTTACATTTAAAAAAAAAAATATATATTTATATATAAATATATAAAAGTGTGGGATCACCTTTTGTTTGACATACCTTTGCAGCTATGAAAATTAACCATTTATTGTCAAGTCTTCCTTGACAAAGACAAAGAACTCAGAAGTTTCTTTCACTGTTTGTGCCCATCAAAGACTCCTTGGCAAAATTGAGAGTTGAAGAAACGCTAGCGTGCTCAGTTGGTCTTACCAGGCAAAATTCCTGATCAATCCCTGCCTGAATTTGAAGAAAGTTTTTCTCCCAGTAAGTAAATAAGAGAACTCTGTACAGCGGAATACGTTATGGCTGCCTGTAAGGCGAGGAACACTACAGTATGTAGTAGAACACTAGCCATGAACAAAAACCTTTTTTTCTGCATTAGTGGGATGAAAAACCTGCAGCTAATAACCCCAGAGGTCTTGTTGGAGGACACGAAGGAGAGGAACAAAGAATAACTTTTTGAAAGATTTTTTTTAGTAATATAACTTTGTGACCTACACAAATATTCTTTTGATGTTTCTGTCTCTGATGTTGTGGATGTCATTTATTTGAATATAACTGCAACAGATGTTATTGTGATGTTCTGCATAACAAGACAGATCCAAACGTTGTTAATTACCCATTTTTACTAAATAAAAATTAAAGTCAGAACCCAAGTTTGTCTTTCTAATATCTGAAACACTGTAATGTTTTTGTTTGTGTGAGTATTCATTCTCATACTCTTTCTTTTGTGCCGCTGTGTTTGTCTGTGGTGTCATGCTCGCATGCACCAAGTCTCTGGATATGAGCACATGCCTCAGCCTGCACTGCCTTCACCTTTCCATATACAGATGTAAATCTAGCTATGAGTATGAGTGGTTAGTGTTAGCAGGTACCCTGGTGTGGTTTGCTCCTTCTTTCCTGTCAATCATCCATCAACTTTATCTCTCCTTCTTTTCTTTTTGTGCTACTTTATAGTAGTAACACTAACACCTCTTATCTTCAGCATTTCTACTTCTATTTGGGTTGCAAGTGCCATAAAACTCTCATAGAATGTAGGCCTACTAATACCAATACTACATCTAGAAGTCTTGCTGGAGATAGAGTACAATATGGGTGGACATTGGAAGTAAATGTAGCGCAGGACCAGATGCAAATCTTTGGTATGACGAAATCATTACCCCAAGCATGGCACAGGTGTGATTTGCTCCTTCTTTCCTGTCAATGGTCAACCAATCATCATCTTTATCTCTCCTCCTTTTCTTTGTATGTTACACCTAAAATCTTCGGACTAATGCGATCTCTTTGTGTTGGAAGTGCCATAAAACATTCACTGAAAAAACCTGAATCTGGTAGTAGTCCTGATGGAGATACAGTCCAGTAGGCTCGGCTGGGGGGGGGGGGGGGGGGGGGGGGGGGGGCAGAGTTCACAGAGAGAGACACTCTCATTTCAGTGTAAAGTTGTTCCCGCATCCGATCCGGACATTGGGGATTGCCCTGATTGTGAGACAACTTCTTGGGCCTTCGGCATATTGTGGTAGGGTGGCTTGTTCCTTTCCACGCCGCCTTTACTTTCCCAACTCTAAGTCAGGCACCCATTACTGCTGGGTGGGTAGGAGGGGGCGAAAAAATATGTGTCCAAACCGAGGCTCAAACCCAGACTCTCCACTTTGGAGACGAGCGTCATTTCAGTGTACTAGACCAAAAGCAGGAACTTCACACACTAGTGACACCTTTTATCTTCACAAGTAATTGTTGCTGACTTGTAGGTTGTGGCAAGGCAGTACAATACTGGTCACATTCCAAAAAGAACAGACAAGACCAATGTGTTGTAGTAACACTGACTGAAAACAAGATAAAAAAAGTGAACCTAGGAGGAGTGTCCAACAACCCCCTGTTTCCGAGTAGAAGGACTGGTTGTCATGGATGTCGGTGGTGTGGGTATGCACAAGAAATGAGTTAGTTTCCCAAATGGAGAAGATCATTTGGGGATTGTCAAGGAGCAAGTCTATCTTTCAGCTTCAATGAGCTATCCCACTCAGGGGACTCAGCCTGTGTTGGCCATGACAGGCAGGGTTGAAGTAATCTGTCCCCTTGACCTAAATGATCTAAATTAGGTCAACGCGGGTGTAAAACACTAACAAATATTTTAGATCCTCATCTGTGAATTTGTGATAATGTATGAGTAGCAGCATGCACCTGGAAGCAATTTTGTTTGCCCTGGAAGAAACATAGAAAGGGTTAGGAGGAAAGACCAAAAAAAAGGTGAACAAAGAAATGCGTTTGTTGTGTAAGCCATTTGACACCTATACCAGTTATCAGGATTGAAGCTGCTGTGATCAGACTATTCAGGTAGAACCAAGGGTTCTGAAAATGCACACAGGATTAAATGATGGATAATTAAAGTGCTATGAACAAACCAATCCAAGAATACGCAATCATATTTTGTAGATAGTATCAGTTTATTAAAATCACTGGATATCATTCACTCATATATGACTAGTGTAAGGAATACAAAAATAATTCACTTTCTTTGTCTTTGGTACAGCACAATTTTAAAATTTATTAAACAACTTTACAGGTGACAATCATAAAAGATACGAGAACGTTCTGCACACTTGAATTGAGACCAAACCTATCATCAACCTGTCAGTTAAGCCGGTGAGTTAACACAGCATAACATATATTTAAAAAATTACCAAAAAAGACTTGACAATTGGAACTTTCACAAATCCACTTGAACCATCTTATCCAAAGAATATCCCAAGCCACAGGCTTCCTACATATGTTAGGCCAACGAGCTTATTTGTTTGCACATACATATCTGATTCTGAGGTGCAAAATGTAAATTAGCTCAAAGTGTTAATTTTCCTCCTCAAATGTGAACATGTATGTATAAATCAGTTTACTGACAGAGTCATATTAAATCTCCCTACATTGTTCATCAAAGAAAATACATTTTTCTGCGCTTTTCACTTTTTGTTTTTATACCATTGACTTCTCTTCCTTCGACTTTGAACATATATAAACAGAAATATGCGGATTATCTTTGATTTAGCCAGGTTTTCGATTTAGATAGATAGCTTGAATAGAAGGTAAAACAATGGGGGATTTTATTTTCTTTCTATTTACCACCGTTTGCGGATTAACCATATCCCGTTTAAGCGGACTCCATTGTAAACAGACACTGAAATTTTGTTATATACGCTAGTCTTCACCACACAGCTGATGTCAAAATAGAAAACTCAAAGCCAGTGGTTGGAGGGCACCACAGGTAGGCCCTACTTTTCCCTTATCATTTCTGTCTGTCTTACTTTTTCCAAGCATCTAAATGACCATTACTCTGTCAGTGTTCTTCTCTGTACTCAAATAAAGAGAACTCAAAAAGATCATCAATCAAGGGAAAGTCTGTCTGATCAGGGTTTTCCAATAAGAGAGAGTGCACCCATGATGCTAAAACTAAAACACTTTTCCCATAAATACATATGTACACACAGATCTAATTTATTCACTCTAAAAATTGAAGAACAAAAAGTACTGTAAAACTTGTAAAATAACAAACAGATCTATCCCCTTCCAAACCTGTTCTCTGAGAAGGGATTTCAAGTGATATTGTTAAAAATCTGAGGTTGTCTAAAATCTGATTTTAGGTAGGCCTATGTCAAATCTTGAGAGTAATGAGAGTTCCTTCCTCATGCTTATACGTTTGCCACAGTATAAAAAAATAACCAGCTGGGAGCAGAATACACAAGGTCGTTCAGTTGCAACTCACAATAAGTCAGCATCATAATGCATTCATTTCATCAAAGACTAACCATACACACATACAAACTGTCATCCAAAACGCCAAATCTCACTAATGCCATTTTGAAAATCTAGTGTTAAAGCTATTGTGCGAACAAAAAAATAAGCATCAGGAAGCAATCATATTAATCTTCTTGAAAGTGTTTTTTGGAATATTCTGGAAGAAATTAAGACCAGCAGCCCTCTCAATCATCTCTAGAGGCATGAAGTAGTGGTGTAATTTTACATTAGGCAGCGGTTGATTTGGCATGACGAAGGACAGGAGCTCCAGCTGACCTTTGTCATTCTCAATAACAACCACCTGCAACACAGAGCACAGAGATTGAATAAATCAGGAGAGAGAGAGAGAGAGAGAGAGAGAGAGAGAGAGAGAGAGAGAGAGAGAGGCGGAGAGTGAGAGAGAAGAGAGAGAGAGAGAGGGAGAGAGAGAGAGAGAGAGAGAGAGATAGAGAGAGAGAGAGAGGGGGGGAGGAGAGAGAGAGAGAGAAACAGAGAGAGAGAGGGGGGGAGGAGGAGGGAGAAGCAAACTAAGGGGATCACAAGAGGTAACAAAGAGACATACTAAAGGGGGTTCATCAAAAAAAAAGAGGAGAGAGAGAGAGAGAGAGAGAGAGAGAGAGAGAGAGAAAGAGAGAGAGAGAGAGAGAGAGAGAGAGTCCTACATTTATGGGATAAACAAGAAGAGAAATTATGCTTGCTTGAGACAGAATTTAGGAGCACATCGTCAATACTCTCAAACACTTCAATAACACAAAGCAGCAATGAACAAGACTAGAAAATTCCTAAGTACTTTGTGGTCTGACACAGCAAACAAAAATATCAAAGATCTTTCATTATCATGCAATCCTCATTAGATTATTAACTTCAAGCTAGGATAAATGGTTTGTCTGTGTGCAATAAAGCAAAACCTACTCTCAAACTCCCCCTCCCCCACTTACTCCTCCAAAACACCCTCTCCCATCTCCTATCTTGGTAGCTTATACGCTTCTGAGGGTAATTATTTTCAGTGCAGTTGAAGGTTCTGTTAGGCAATTTGGACGTAGGGGATGTGACCCTACATGTTTTTTTCCTCCGGAATGAGTTTTTTTTTGGGGGGGGGGGGAGTTAGAGAGTAGGTCCAGTGAGAGGGGCACAACAGCACATTATTCCCCAATATGTCTTTCTAGATCTGAGCTATGAAAAAGGATAGAGAATTATTATTTAAAACGTTCTTTCTTCTAAGGGTATACCCAAATATTCTATATAATAAGGCATGAATCTGTTTTAAAAAAAAAGAAGAAAAGAAACAACACACAAAACCATTTTAAAACCCAAGGGAACAAAAAATACTTGCCTTAAAAAAATGAGTGGGTACAGATACATGATTTGCACCGATGACTTCATATTTAACATACAATTTTCCATCTGGCTCTTTCCTGAGGACAGACAAATTGGTACCATTATACAACAGGTTTGTCTACTAACCAGCTCTTGCTCTGTAATAGGAGGAAAGTTACATGATCAAAATTTGTGTCCAAGGGGGAATAAAAACACCTGCATAATAAAGATTGTAAGACAAAAAACAGAATGTGGTTTCCTTCTTTCAACTAATTTTGAGAAAATAATAAAAATAGGTCTGGAAATTGCAACAAGAACCATGGCTGGACCTCAAATTGGGACCTAGGAAAACAAATCAAACGTGAACTGTGAGCAATTAAAATGTTTGTTTCCTAATGTTTGTGGCACACACCCATAGAGAAAACAAACAAGACCAGCGATGGCAACAGCCTGTCCAATTGTCACAGTTTGTTACAGCCAATAACTCATCTTCGTCTGATAAACAAGGAAACATTGTCCTATGCACAACGGCACTTGTCACCCAGAACACCAGAAGTGAGTTTCTACCCTGTTCCTGCTCTTTGGGTGTGGAAGAGGTTGTAGTTTCTAAAAGCAGTGCACATGCCACACATGCTGTGGTAATAAAGTGAAAAAAACTTCTGAACTAAAAAACTGCAGGGGCTGCGGCAAAGGTAGTCAGTGGAAACAGTACTACAACCGCATCATTTGTGCCACGGATCGCTAATGAGTTAAGACCCCAAATACTCCTCAACCCATTTCACATTATATGCATTATATATGCAGGGGAAGCCAAAAGACAAAGAAGAATACAAATATCAAGAACATAATGACATAACATGACACATACCTTGGGAGGTATAATGGTCCTGTACAAACGAACACATTCCTTGACTTGCGGGCGATAGCTCTCACATATTTTTCCAAGTTATTCCACGCATCTCTATTAAATCCTTCACCAACCTTAGGAAAAAAGAAAGTAAAAGTTATTTTGTCTTTTCAGGAGTGTAACTGGGAGAGTGAAAAAATTGCTATTCATGTCACCAAAGTTGTCAAGCACACATGGTCCAAAGGAAGGAAACGTGACATAATCATGCTGCACGCGAAAGGCCCTGATCAGGGTCAGTCTCCCTGGCAGGAGTTCAGGGGAGTAAGATATTTGTGTGGCCGCATCGTGGTGTAATCAAGCGCTCGTAAAAAATAAAGAAATTTGTTGGGAAATTTTTATCATTTTTTTTTTTTGGGGGGGGGGTGTCTACACCTTTTATTTTATATGGCCATTATTTAGAAATATTTCATTGAGGATTTTACAAAAACGTTGATAAAGACACCAAAAAAAGGGTAAATTTGATGTTTCCAAGAACATTCAAGCTTTGAAAGTCATCAAAGTTTGGGGCCCTTTTCTCCCTAATCTTACCTCTAACACAAGGCCACCCCCACTTGACTCAATCAAAAATATCTCGACTTCTGTTCAAGATAGACGGGTATGTTTTTTCATCAAAAGCAAGCCGAATGAACAGGCTGTAAGATTATGTCTATAACTACGCTACAGGCCAAAAAAGGATGAGCACCTGATCCCACTGTGTTGTTACACATGTCATGAAACACACAAATCTCATTACATGTACTAGAGAGAGTCAAAATTGTGCCTAATTCACTGAAGTGTCTTTTTAAAATAATATGTATTTACATTTTGTACTAAGAAAAGGAACGTAGAGAAAATGTCAGCCTGCTCGATCACAACAACTTGCAGGAAATGAGGTCTGTCCCAACTTGGGAGTCTTGTTTAATGATAATCTATCAAAAGCCTGAAGACCTTGTTGTCGTAAAACATAACATTTTCATTTCCTCACTGATAGATAGGAATTGAGAGGTGCTTTCTTCAATTATAATATAATAAGACTCAATTTTCAAGCCAAAGAAGTGTATTCACAATAAATGTGACATTCCAAAAAAATGACTCTGTAACCCATTTACTGCTAGACCTGCTTTCTATCTTCATCAAAGAGCTAATAGGCACTTCTGCTGAGCAAGCAGTGAAGGAATCAATACTAAAGAACCTTGATACAAGAACAGTTTTCAACGGCAAAATTTTCTAGATACTTTCTTCAATTCTTTATTTTTGTATTTCAAACATTGTGCATCGCATCACTAATGTTATCTCATCTGAAGCATAGAGCAGAAAACTCTCGATTTTCCAAAAATCTGCTGAATAGGTCACAATGAAATTAATACAAGATCTTCAGTTTTTATGACAGAGCATTAGATCATGCATCACAGGCAAACTAAGCAGCTTGTTTTGACAACTAAAATTAAAAAGCAATTTATACTATTGATGTAACTGTACAATTAAACTACTGTTTGTTTATCATTTTAAACAAATATCTTCCAACCTGTGGGGCGACGTTAGAGAGAATAAAGGTTTGATTCATTGCATTCTCAGACTGTCTGTGATTTGCTGCTGCCGCAAGATGGCCTCTGTCGTAACCGCTGCCTTGGTAGTCTTTGTTGGTGGAGCGATGAAAACTATGAATGGATTGGTCTTCTGTAAATTTCATCTTAGATCTGAAAAAATGTGGAAAAAAAACTATGTTATAATATAGCCTTTTAAAAATGTATGTGGTCAATTGCCAAAAACTGCGCCATTTTCAGGTGCCTTTGAGATTTATTGAGTGAGTTTGAATTATATAACAGTCTAAATAATGCTGGTCACTTCGCTTTCATCAATTTGATGAGAGCCTGATTTCATGACAATAGACGTTACTATACAGATTCCAATCTGTTATACCGTCAACCTCGGGATGAGCATGAAGTTAGCAGTATAGCAGGACTGATGGTATAACAAGGTTTGAATGCTGTTTTCTTGAACAGCACTGATGTCAAGAGTAGTGATTCTGTTATGACTAAATGAAGGACAACAGAAATATTTTGTGTCTCTTTATGTGTGCAAAGCTTGATGAGATTGCCTTAAGGCTTACAATAGCTTGCATGCCGAGTCATGTATGAGAGAAAGGAAGATTATCATCACTGCACAGCTTCCAACCGGGTGCTGTTGTGCGCCATGTGCTGTGCACAAGATTGACTGGTGGTGTTGCATGACAAATCTACATTTGTTTTGTAAGTATAGAACAACTAAAAAAAAAAAACACCTAAAAAACCTGGGAGCTTGGCAGGTGCTCAGGAGTGATTTGGTCCTTCTTTCCTCCTATCAAACATCTGTCGTTCTTAAATCTCTCCTGATTTTTTGTGTTTGGTACTCTCTTGAAACACCTCAAATCTTCTTCAGCACTATAATACAATAGTCTCTGCCTTAATGCACAGTGCTCAGGAGGACTCCTTACCATGTTTTTATACGGAGTGTGCATTTACATGAACATGTGCAAAGGGAGGAAGAAATGCAATCGTCTCATTTCCTTGATATTTTAATGGCCTCCCTTGGGAGGTAGGGGTCATTTGGCCGATAATATGATGACATGTGACTACTTTGTGGAGATTCCCTGATTACAGATTACAGTTGTAATGAATTATGAATACAAGCGAAGGCGGGGGGGCAGGGGAGGGGAGCAGAAAGACGGATTCACTGTACTGATATATATATGTGTGTGTGTGAGGCAGCGTGGTGGAATCAGGCCCTCGTCAAATTTTGGGCATTTAGAGTTATTGGTATCATCTTAAAGCTTGTTCACTTGAGTTTATTTTGATGAAAAAAGTATCCATTTATCTTGAATACAAGTGGAGATATTTGCGAATGAAGATGGTGGGGGTAACCTGTTTTCAGAGGTAAAATTAGTGAGAAAATGGCCGCCAAAGATTAGTTATTTCCTTACCTTAAGAGTCCGTGGTAACTGAAAATTTACATTTTTTTGTGCCTTTAATTAATGTTTTTCAGAAAAATCCACCCAGAAATGAGTTCTTTAATGGGCATGAAAGGTGTTGAGCCAAAAAACAAAAAATTGTCAAAAGTTCACAAACCAGCAGAAAAATGCAAGTTTCTTCACTCTGATTATTTTGACGAGAGCCTGATTCCACCACGCTGCCTCACACACACACACATATATATATATATATATCAGATCAGCAGTGTACATGTACTATAAATGTCAGGAACGGATTATAAGGAAACTGTTGGTGATAGTCATTGGGAAAAGCACTCAGCCCCATGACTTTCCAAGCAACCACTCCCGATCAGGGGCGGCTTGTGGTTTGTAGAACCGGCCGGCTGTCATTCACACATCGATCCCGTCTCCCCATCCCCTTTATTCCCACCACCTTCCCCCTCCCCCTCCCCAAACAAGAGACAATAAAAAAACCACGCACACACTCTCTGCTGTATACCTACATTTTCATTATCCCTCACTACACACTTACACATGCATACACACATACACACGCACGCACACACACACACATGCCAAATGCCTACTGAACGCTAAAACAAAAACATCTACGTATCTCTAAATAATATTAAAAGTAAAGTTGTTCCCGCATCCGATCCGGACATTGGAGATTGCCTTAATGTTAGTGAGACAACTTCCTTGGCCTTTGGCATATTACGGTAGGGAGGCCAGTTCCTTGCCACGCCGCCTTTACTTCCCCAACTCGAAGTCAGGTACCCATTACTGTAGGGTGGGCAGGTGGGGGCGAAAAAAATCTGTGTCTAAACCGAGGCTCAAACCTGGATTTTCCGCTTCAGAGACGAGTGCACTATCCGCTCCGCCACCGCATTTAAAGAGTTTAAATACAATTACGATATTGGAAGAAATAATTGATAGTGTACCAAAGACAAAGCACTGTCCAGTGCAGATCAAGTCTGGAATCAGATCAGCAGTGTACATGTACTTAAAATGCACACGCAGTTAACATAGCCCACTTCTCAGAAGACTACAGTAGGCTGTGCAGAACTGTATCAAATGCTAATTATAGAACCCAATGTCTGGCCAGGGTGAGGGGAAAAGGGGAGGGGAGGGTACAGTTTGGGAGGCCCAGACTCCGTCAGCCAAGTGCCTCTTGCTAGTTTAGCACTCTTATCCTCAGTAAATTTTTGTCTATAGAACATGACAGGCCAATTTTTTAAACCACCAGTCAGTCAGAAGGTTTCAGTAGAAAGTAAGTGATAAATAGAATATCAAGCAGAACCAAGGGCGACCAAAACCTATAGTCAATACAAATTAATTAGAGCCATGCAGACAATAAAAATGTACTGACAGTAACAAGAGACAGTTTTGCTCATAACATTACTGATGAAATACGATGTATCAAATGTTAAAGACGAGTCCTACCTCTCAACTCCGTCTACTTTGTTGACCTTTTCCGGGGTAAGATGTTCCAGAACCCAGTTGGCAGTCCTGTTCCTACGATCGTATGACAGCATAAAATCTTCATAGGATCTCAGGCTGTCTGTACTGGGAAATCCATATTTTACCATTTCACCAACACGATTCACTGCCAGGGGTTTGTTTTCAGGCTGTGTTGAGATCGCGGGCACGGCTGGGAGAGACATTTTTGCATGGGCCGGTGGGAAAACGAATGAGCCACTGGAACTGGATGAAACATGATTATCATAGAAAGTAGAATAGGAATGTTGGAATTTGGATACCCGTCGTCCTAAGTAAAAGCCGATTCCAATGGAAACAGCCGCAACGACTGTTGTTGTGCGGCGAGACATGATTTTTCTTCGTAATTATGCTAGACCTCTTGTTTTGGTTTCACTTCACAGTGCTGGCAGGATGTCATGAAAGGTCAAGGACCAAGGTGAAAACTGGGTATTCCCACAGAGAGCGGTCGTCACAAGTGACGTTTTTGTTTGTTTTTCTAACTTCCACAGAACATTACTAACTTCTGAGTGTTTCTCAAATAATTTCTTTAGCATTGAATGGGGATTCACTTCGATGATGCAGTGTTTTAATTTGTAGATACCTAGAAGCTCATAGAACCCCGTGCCTACCTCGACAGTAGAGTGTCAATATTTGGGTCTTCCCCATGATCTATTTTTGTAAGAAAAAAAGTTTAGAAAAGGTCCATCTATCCCATCATGCATCATTCAATTAGAAACATGGCGTCAACTAGTCGACAGTAAGTAGTCTACGTTTTCGTGTTTTGTGCTGAGACGTTGTAAAATCGATAATCGAATTATTTTTGTCATGTTTCGGTTGTAGATTGTACCTTGATACAAACTGACTGATTTTCCCTAAATGTGGCTTTACTGTTTGTATTTAGTCAAGAAAATCATGAATATACGTGGACGTAATTCTGTTTGGCACAGTTTGGGATTCGATTGTATTGCATTTGGCTTGTTGACGTTGGGTTAAAAAGGCCTTCCCGAGGCCGAGACTAAATCAAAGAGAAAAAACTCTTAGTCTAGACTCTCTCTTGCCTTGCGCTTTTGTACTCTCTTTCTCGTTCGTCTCACCCTCTCTGTTAGTCACAGTGGCAGTGACAATTTTCCAGGGCCACCTCTATTCTCACCCCGGGTGAGAATAGACGTGCAGGCGAGTCTTTTACTTTTGGCTATTCTCACCCGGTGCACGTTCACCGTTATAGCCTAGATCTAGGCCAACCAATTTTGCGTT